GGAAAACTAAGAACCACAAAAATATTTGCTGAATTTTTATTAATTGCTATATGTATGTATATTCTTTTTAATTTTATAATTATGAACAAAAAAATCGTTTACTTTTTGCCAACACTAAATTAACCAAAAAACTAAATTACAAATATAATTTTCTATGGTGAAGTTAGTTTTCATTTGTTCTTTAAGAAATTTTGACATTTTGATTCAATATATTATGTTGTTCAGAAAATAATGTCCGATTATAGAATAAAAATTTTAATTGTGTTGTCATATATACAATTGTTACACAAAAAGATATTATTCATTCGTAACGATTAAAGAAAGCAGAGTTTCTCAGCCTAGGCAATATTGCTCACTGGTGGGCAATTTCAAATGTTGGGTGGGCAATTCAACAGAAAATGGTGGGTGATTGAAAATTGTGGTTAGTGATATATAGACTGTTAGTGTTAAGTATTAAAAAGACATTTTAAGATATGCGACCCGAAAAAAATATTCAAAAAAATATTCAAAAGATATGTGGAAAGAATCTGTATAAAAAATCAAAAGATTAAATGGGAATAACTCAGTTACATTCCTAGATAAAAAAAAAAAAATTAATATCTCCGCCAGCAAGAAATATTTTTTGTACTTTCTACAGTTTTGTGGAGGATCATTAACATTCAAATATTTACATTCAGTATTAGACATAAAAATTATCCACTGATTTTTTATTCATTCTTAATAGTTTATATTCTTTTTCATTTTATAATTATGAACAAAAATCATTTAATTTTTTTGTCAACACTTCTAAAATTAACCCTGACCATAAAACTAAATTATATATCTAGTTTTAAATGGTCAAGCTTGCTTTTTGTTCTTTAATATGCCAGTTGCAGCAGCAGCTGCCGAACAAGTCAGTATTATTTGTTACCTCCCTTTGGTATTTTTTTGACTACAAAAGTTTACAAACCAGTAACAAACTTTTACCAAACAATTCTGGTATGCTTTTGAATATTTATTATATAGGTGGATGGTGGAAAATCTTTCCAAGTGAAAGTAGGTGTTAATGCAAAAAAGTTGGGAACTCCTGCCATAGACCGAACGTGTGAGCAAAGACAATGTTTTTGAGAAACTGTAGGCAAAAAGGACACTTATATGTAGAATCAAAAAGTGACAATTGTAATTTCTGGAACATGTAATGAGGAAAGAGGGCTTGGAAAATTTAACACTTACAGGAAACGTTGAAGGCAAGGGACAAAGGAAAGAAGCAAATAACCTGGCTAACAAGTTTATGTAAAATAAAATGGATGGCCGAACAGGGGTTGGGCAAGATAGCAAAAAGACAAACATTGCTAAGAGCTACAAAGAACAGGAAGTTGTGGAGAACCACGATCACCCACATCCTGAAGGGACATAGCATACAGAAGATGATGCAAATAGATTTATTTTTGGGGTTACTGTTAATTTTATCATTTTAAACCACTTTCATTTAGCAAGCACTGAATTACTTCTTTCTTAGTTTTGTTTTAACTAGCCTCATATTCTTATTCCTCCTTTTGCTTTGAAAAATCACATGCTAGATATAAAATGAAAAATAACGTCCAAAATTCAATGTAATTCATCTACAATTTTTTTGAGAATAAAAACTGAAATTTAATTTAATATCTGTGTGTAGAAAATTATCTTCTTTGTTTTAACAAAAGTTCACTCAATACAAGTCCCAAAAGCCTTTCAAGGTAGAGAGTTACTGCATTAAGTTAAGATTGTTGTGATTAAGGAAGCATCCTCTCAGGAGTCTGCTTCACAAAGTAGCCATTCCCAGGAATAAGCTATTTGAGTGGAACTTCCTTCTTACTGATATATGGATGATGAGTATGTGGCATAGCTGGTCCTAGCTCTTCAATCTGAACATATGCCATGGAAATAGCAATAGAGTGGCAATAGTCTGTGGCATTGGATCTGTATGAAAGGAAATTTGTTAAGTCCCCAAAACCAATCCATCATTTTACATGGGGAAGGTTGTTTGGATTTAATAATTAATTTAGATAGAATGTAAAAGTTCTTATTATTACTGATGCATATATGACACAATATGGATAGCAGACACAGAGAGAAAACTACAAGAACTCCTACAGAAGATAACAAAGGAAAGTGAGAAGAAAGGAATAAACATCAAACGCAAGAAGACAGCGTGTTTGCTTGTCAGCAAAAAGGACAACCTAACATGCAAATTACAAATTGCAGATACCAAAATCAAGCAAGTACAACAATTTGAATATCTAGGAAGCATTTTAACAGAGGACCAACAGTGCGACACTGAAATCTGAAGGCACATTGAGATAGCAAAAGATGCCTCCCAAAAGCTAAGCAAAGTATAAAGAAATATGAAAAATTTGTTAGAAAGAAAGAAATATTTATATATCTCAGTTTGTTCATTCTCTATCTCAATTTGTTCATTATCTATCTTTTTTTTTTTTTTACAGTAAGGCTCATCCTGTACAAGGCCCAGGGGCCACTCAAGATAGAGGGTTATGTGTGTTCATCTTGTCTGGTATTCACATGGTGACAAATGAGAAGCACTCTTATCAAGTGAGAAAAACAGTGGTGTTATATAGCTATCTCAGTCCCAGACCCACACGGACTATTGACTAATACCGGCCTAGTATATTGTTCATATGCAAATAGTCAGCAATACCTGTAGAAAATCCTCTCTCAATAGCCTATTGTGGAAGAGGATGTAGCTTCTGGTGCTTACATACAACAAACTTTGAGTCTTTTATCGAGCTGACCTGATTCTTTGTTACATTACATTGAGGGGGAGTTTATATTAATAGGAAGGGAAGATAACTCTAGACTTGAACAGATTGTAGTGATTAGGGAAACATTCTCTTGGGAGTCTGTTCTGTAGGGCAGTTGTTCACAGGAAGAAGCTGTTTGAGTGGAACTTCTTGCTGATGGAATACAGAGGAAATGAGGGTTGTCTGCTATTATGTAAGTGGCATGTCGTATCTTAGCCATGAAGATCAGACCTGGTGGAACCAGGAGATGCAGTTTGTGTGAGCAGTTTCTATCGTAGTAGTGAGAGAGCAGTGACAGACTCACTACATCCCACCTGCAAAAGAGAGGTTGGAGTGTGGAAAATAATTCTTCTCCAACAAGGACTCTGAGATGCTTTTGAACTCTGTCAAGATAGGAAAGTGAGGTCTGGGCAGCTCGTGACCAAATATGGCAACAGTACTCCATTTTCAGCCTGATCTGGCTCTTATATAGGAAGAGAATAGCATGAGGAGTCAGGTACTTACTGGAATGGTACAGGGAGCTGATCATTTTACCTGCATCTTTCATATATAGGAATTCCATGAGTTTAGGTGTGAGTTAGAAGCCCAATATCCTCTCAAGGCATGGTGCCTCCTTGAAGGGACATCCATTCATTGTGACTGATGGGTCTGATTGGTCGTGATGGAATATAACCAGTTTGGGTTTCGAGGCATTAAATGTAACCTGCCATTTCTTTTCCTCATTGGGAAGTTAGTGTTAGACCAGAAAAGAGGTCAGCTTCCAATCTCTGATCGTCAAGACTTTTAGTTGTGTGCCTGTATATCATTGTATCACTGTCGTATTTTTAAAAATGATCAGAGTATCTCCATCTTTGTCCATTATCTATGTTCATTATCGATATCTTAGTTTGTTCATTACCAGTTTATCTCAATCTGTTTATTATCTATCTACCTGCCTCTACCTGTTCATTATCTATCTAACTACCGCTATCTCTTCATTACCTATCTATATAATAAAAATAAATTGGTTATTGAAAAAGCATCAAAGAATAAGCCTACCAATACTCAGCCTGCCAAAGAAAAAAAGCAACAACAGACAAAAGAAAAAGAAGGACAAGAAAAAAAAGACAAAAATAGAGAAAATAAAAATAAAAACACCTTGTTGCACAAAAACCTAAAGTGCTCAATGGCTCTAGAAATTAAACTAAGACAGAGCAGTAATACTAACAAATACCAAACAGCTCTCAGGCACTCCGACCCAAATTGTTACTCTGATTTTTTTTATCTGATGATCACCATAGTGATCATTATGATTTAGTTCTGACTCCCTGAATGCTGTTTAGTGTTTGATAGTGTATATATATATATATATATATATATGCATATATATATATATATATATATATATATATACATGCATGATGAAAAAGTATAGGCAGAAAATGTAAATTCTTGAAGCAATATGATATACATAATATGTGGCACAATCCAATTTCTCTTTTCCTGATTGATATTCGGTTTCTCAGCCTTCAGGGAATAAATAATATCTAAGTCAAATTGCTGTAACTCCCCCAGCTCAGAATTAGTCCCTGATGCCAGTAGCATTTAAAATCTGTAAGCCAAGGAACTGAACTTTAATTACCCACATGTACGTGCGAAGGTCCTCACATTAAACGAGACATTGTGATCTATTCCATTCTTGTGGGAAGTTGGACATAGCTTTTTGGCCATTTGGCATTAAAGAATGAAATCCAGTTCCAACGATCCATAGCCCTAAACAGTTAATTCCTGGAGTTTGATACGTACCTAAAAAGAAATGCTGGAGAGGATGGACCATTTATACCTCTGGTCTCATGCACACATGATCTCCCCCTTTAAACGCGGCCTTGTGCCACACATTCCTTTTGAGCAGGCGCATAGATAAATCTCGCTTTTTGGATTTTTTCTAAGAGCAAAGTGTAGTATCTGTTTCTAGCAGTTTAGGCATGAAACTGTTATATATATTACCATTATCAGTTACTATTGGATAAAAGGCGTGTATCTTTGTGATTTTCTCTGATAATATACCAATTAGAACTGATTCTACACTTTGGTCTTATCCAAAAGGTCGAAAAGTAGACAAAGCATTTTTTTTTTTTAAGTTAAAACTTAAAGAAATTGCCGATTTCTCATGCCCAACAAAGGAGTAAAATAAAATAAAAAACTAGAAAAAGAAGTAAAGAAAAATAATAAGTAGAAATTAACATGCTGTAAGAAAGCGATGTACCTTTCAGGGACAACGTTTTTCCTGGAAGGAAAAGAAAAAAGACAATGTAAAAACCCTGTGATTGATTCAATGATGCTGAATGAGAAACAACGACCCGAGATTTAAAAAGAAAAATTATCACCAAAAACCTCTGATGATAATTGCTTTGATTTCAAGAAAAGCTTTTTTGGTTCTTGTAAAAAAAAAAATGTCCTTGATTATTTGAAATTTTTCATATAGACTTGCTTGGCATTATTAACATGCAGATATACTGAGGTCTCTCTGCAATGAGGTCAATGATAGTCCACCTCAAAGTAACCCCGCATTGGAACCTCACTAACATATCCAAGCAACCCCTTCCACATTACAAAACAATTTGCAGAGACATTTTTCAGAACAATTAAGTTGTTCTTAATTAGTTGTATGGTATTGCCAACATCCGACAGAATCATAAGATAAAGAATAAATAGGAAACATTTATCAATCTAACATGTTTCGCTTTTATTAAAGCTTCATCAGAGAATGAGATATTTAGTCTAAATATAAGAGTCTACTGTACCTAAAGTGGGGGATCGGTTTCCTATTGTCATTAAGTAATAAAGTGATCACCCTAGAATGACTACATATAGTATGATTTGAAATCAATTATGGATCGGAATCCGACAGAATGATAAGATAAAGAACAAATGTTTCACTTTTATTAAACCTGACAAAGCTTTAATGAAAATGAAACAGATTGATATATGTTTCTTAATTGTTCTTTATATATATATATATATATATATATATATATATATATATATATATTTAGAAAAATATTACAAACTGTCAAATTTCTTGTGACGTGTTTTATCCATTAGGATTTCATCGGACTCAGCTTTGTTCATGTTGCCATATTTACACATGTGCATGAAACGAGATGCATGGGTAGTTTCAAAATCTTTTGAAAGAATATTTTTTTGTTTCAAATTCATCTGTATTCTTTTTCTTTTCCTTTTTCTTCCCATCAAAAAAAAAAAGAAAAGAAAACTGATGAATTTGGTTAGACTGAAACAAATATATTCTTTCAAAAAATTGTTCTGCAAGCAATTGCCATTTAAGGGACATTCTTTATTCCAGTTGCATGTAGGTTTAATTTGTTCAGGTGGTTTGTTGGTTGTTTTCCTGTTGTGCTTTTTTATTATTTGTGTCATGTTCTCGATGCAACTGTAGCTGATTTTTACTATGTTTTTGCTGAATATCTTGTGGAGAGTGTTCGATGTGAGGAAGTGTATGTGTTTAATGAATATTTTTCCAGCATTTGTTTTTACATTTTTGCTGTACAATGAGTTGAACCATATGGTGTTTCTCTTCTTGATAGCTTTCTTTTGGTGCTGTGTGTGTGATTGTTACTGGGAATTCACTATCTTTTAGGGCTGTTTCATAGTCTTTCTTATCTTTGTTGAAGAAGGTTTCCCTGGAAGAATTGTTGCAAAGCCTGCAGTTAACTGATTGTGGTATCTGCTTGATTATTAATGGCTGGTAGTTGGAAGATGTACATATATAGAGTGGTTTATCATTAGGTTTTCTGTATGGTTCATATGTACCTTTTCTTGTCTAGAAAATCATTTAGGTGAGTTTTTATGTCTGTGTCAAATCCCATATTTTTGAAAAATGATTATTTTTCTAGTTTTGTCTGTGTTTTGTTTGTGATTGTTTCTTAAGATTATGAGACCATCGTCCCTGTAGAGTCCTATATTATTCCTATCAATTATTTTACTTAGTTCGTGTAGAAAATATATATACCTATGAGCTGATAAAAGAAAAGAAAGAAGCAATATTTTTATGTCTTTTCAGTTAAACTTTGAATTCATTAATTTATTCTGAGATTCAAAAAGATGCTTCACCTCTACTTGAGTTCAGAATGCTATAAATTTTTCTTTGCTTAACAAGTTGAATGTATGTGAAAAACGATTACCAATGAAAATCAAATAACACAAAAAATACCAGAATTTCTTTCTTCTTTTTCTCCATATCATTCTCTGATGAAGCTTTAATAAAAGTGAAACATGTTAGATTGATAAACATTTCCTATTTGTTCTTTATCCTATCATATTATTAAATTAAATAACATTAAAAGTGAAAATGGGTAAAGGGATGAGCTACATCATCGCCATTCGATGCTCTTATTTTCAGAAAGGAAAAAAATACCATACAAACAGCATAAAAGAAATGTGCCATTTATGTAGATGGTGTCATAGCGGAAAGTACTGTTTGTGATTCGTTAGTTTCTGATATAATGAAATATGCATACACCTGTGTTCCCCCCTCACTGGAATATGATTGGCTAGTGTCCGTCATAAATACTGATGGACATGTAGTCTGAGAGCTAAGTCTATAACGACGCCCATTGGGACTACACCATTGATCTACACTTCTTACCTGTGACTACGACGAGTACCAGTCGATTACTGCTACCGTATTCTACTTGGTTATAGTAGCCAAAACCACTTAGCTACTTCGTTTAAATATATCCCTTTTTGGGACATATCAGTTTCATAGGTTCAAAAATGGAAATTTTGATGTGGAAACTAAGAACCGTGAGGAAGGTCTGATGATGAACTCGAAACAATAATTAAAAATAATTCAGATCACATGTCACAGGATATTGTAGAGGTACACTCCAGATATCATATTTTTTTAAAATTATTTCACCCCAAGCAAGGTAATAATGCCACTAGAAGGGAGTGAAAGTTCATGAGACGACTTTAGGGGAGAGAACTGAGGAAAGGACAAATAAAAGAAACAGGGATGAAGAAGACAGAAGATAGTAATTGCATTTAAATTTTTTAAATTGTAGTTATCAGGGAAGCAAGAAATCAGAAGGGTGTTCCACAGGTGAGATATGTGAGAAAAGAAACTGTTAGAGCAGAAGTGGTGGTTGCATCTAGCTAGTTCAACAGTAAAATGGTGAGACCTAGTTGCCAATCTAGTAGCATTCATATAGTTGGGATAAGGGAAAAAATCTTATTAGAACAATTGTCATGAAAATATTTATAGAAAAGACAGAGGAAAGCCATGTCAGTGAGAAAGTAACTGAAGCTAAGATGCCAGGTCAAGATCGATTTGATTGCAGATCCTTCTTTGGATTTTGTTAAGAATAGCAAGATGTATGGCAGGAACACCAGACCAGATATGGTGACAGTATTCAATGCATGGACGAATGGTAAATTTATAAATATGCAAGATGGATTCTGACAAGAAAAATTGTCTGGCAAGACACAGTGAAGCAACTTTTCTATGAACATTTGAAGGCACTTAGAAATGTGAACTGCTATTTGGATGCCTCATGATTTAATAGAGAATATTCTAATGGACTCCATTTTCATCTGCGATTCTCTACTCAAATGATCCATTTTGAAAAAGAATGATCACAGGTGATGAAGGACAGATTGCTTACAACAATGTGGAGTGAAAAAAGTCTAGGGGAAAATGAAATGAGACACCATTAACCACTCTAAAAGCTGGTTGGCATCAGAAAATGATGAAGCTATTTATCTTGTTGAATTGGAAGGGCCTGGAGTATTACAAGCCTCTTCAGATATGTCCTGTTCACAAATGAGCTGAAGATAGGAACCAATTAAAAGCATTCAGAATTAACCAATTGGAAGATTATTATTTTCTATCAGGACAATGCCAGAACTCATGTCTCTTTGCAGACCAGACTGAAATTGGAACAGCTTGACTGAAATGTTCTGCTACACCTGCTGTGCTCAATTGATCTTGCTACTTTGCTTAATCACTTATTTCCATCCCTACAAATTTCACTTAGTGGGAAAAACTTCTATCCTCTGCAAGAACTCTTCAATATGGTACCTAGACTTTATGAATTTAAGCACAGTACTAGATTGGCAGCAAGATCTCATCAATTCACAGTTCCATAAGTTCCATGCTAACAATTTCTTTTTTACACTTCTCGCTTGTGGAACTCTCTTCTGGCTTCAGCCAACTTTGATCTTCAAATATTCAAATGCAATGTCAGTTGTTATCTACTGTCTTCCTGATTACTCTTCTATTGTTCTTGCTCTTTAATAATGTTTCTTTTTTTTTATTCTTTCATACTCAGTAACCCCTTGTGTCTTAGGTGCATTATTGCCTTGCATGGAGTGAGATAATGAAAAAAAGCCCCTAAAAAACCACTTAGACCAGTTCAGCACCCAGAAAGATGCCAAGTTCAGGGAGAATGGAATCACGACGCTGCTTCAAAGCTAGTGGACAAAATGACAAGTAGGTGGTTGAATAAATCTATATACAAATATGAAAATATTGTCTTTGAAATTCAATTTAAAACACTGCAGCAAAGCAAAGAAAACCAAACTTTGCTGAAATGTATACTAATCTGATGATTGTCTAAGCTGACTGGAGAACCTTTGTATCAACCCAATACTTTGCTGCTATTTATACTAGTCTGATGAACATTTAAGCTGCCTAAGAGGGATTTTACTAAATTTCTATCCAAATCATTTTCCGAGCATCTATTTTTTTTTCCTTAAGGTTCATAAGTGTCATGCTACAGTTGTCTGCATAGGCAATAAAGAGCTGAGAAAACTTCAAAGATGCTTCTAAGATTTCACTAGTATTGTGAAATTGAAGGTACTTGAAACTTTTACATAAATTCAATATGTGCATTACAGAATTTTCTTTCTTAAATGACACGTGCCTGACCAACAATCTGATATCTGCTGTCTCTCTCAACTTTCTCATTCTCCAGCAGTGATCTGGATGAATTAACTGTACTCAATCTCAAAGAAGTAACTGTACTCAATCTCAAAGAAGAATTTAGGAAGACGGCTACATAAAGAAACCATTGCATGAATTAGACATACTTGCTCTCCCTAAGGATCCTTCTCCAACTTTCGTATAAATCAGGGGCTTGTCGTTTAATGTCACTTAGTTTTCCCTGGCACTGAATCTGGTGTCGATTTACAACAATAATCTGAAAAGAAAAAAAAAGGATATAGACATGTGAGAATTTGAAAATTGTGGTCATAAAAAATTGCACCAGACAAACTTTTTTTTTTTTTACAGTTTAGGTCATAAATTCCCAAGTAGGCATCTACGCGGACAACACTACTATTTACTCCTGCCTCAAAAACAAATCTAGGGTCGCCAACAAAACTAACCAGGCCATTTGTCTTGAAAAGGACCTCCAATCGGTTGAGGACCGAGGCAGGAATTGGCTGGTTAACTTTAACACCTCAAAAACAAAACTGCTCTCTGCTACTACTCACCACAGAGAACCATCTCTGCCCCCCCATGAGAATGTCTGATGCTCAACATCTCGAGAGCTCCTGTTTGTAACTGCTTGGTCTCACATTGACTGCTGACCTGAGATGGTACAAATACATTGAGTTAATAGCTTCGTCCACCGCAAGGAAAGTTGGCTCCCTGTACCGCGCCAGGAAATTTTTCTCGCTGGAGTCGATCCTTCAAATCTACAAATCAACCATTCACCCTTGCATGGAGTATTGCTGCCATATATGGTTCAGTGCCCCTTCTGTTTGTCTCATAGTTCTTGATAAGATCCAGAGATGGATATGCAATGTAATTGGCCCTGATCTGACATCTCATCTGCAGTCTCTCTCTCACAGACATGCCGTCACCTTCCTCTGTCTTTTTTACAAATACTTTCATGGTAACTGCTCCGAGGAGCTGCTTTCGCTGGTTCCCAGACTTCATGAATTTAAGCGTTGTACTAGGCTGGCATCTTGCTCTCACCATTTCACTGTCAAAACTGTTAAATGTAGCTGTCTCTTCTACTTCAATAGCTTCATGTCTCACACCTCTCGCCTGTGGAACTACCTCCCCTTTTCCTGTTTCCCTGATAGCTATAATCTCCAACTATTCAAATGTAATGTCAATCGACATCTCCAGTCATCTTGATCTATCCCCTATCCTTCTCTTCATCCTTTCCTCTATCACCCTTCTTTGCTCTCACTCCAACTCTCTGTAACCCCTTGCGTGCTAGTGGCTTCCCACCTTGCTTGGGGTGAAAAACTTAAAAAAAATATATCTGGGGAAGATAACAGTTACCAATAGACTTAAATAGGTTAAGATTGTAGTGATTGGGAAAACATCCTCTTGGGAGTTGGTGCCACAAAGTAGTGGTTTGTGGGAAGAAGCTGCTTGAATTAAAATTCTCACCCACGGAATATGACGAGAATGAGTGTGTTTCAATATGTGCACCATGGCAGGTCTTAGCTGTGAAGGTTAGAACTGATGGAAATAAGGAATCTAGTTTGTCTAAACACTTTCCATGGAAGTAGTGATAAAGCAGTTGTTGACCATGTTCACCATAGTCTATGAATATAGAATACAGCACAGGACGTAATCCGTTCAATGAAACAACGTTAAAGATTAACACTCACGTGTCAGGCACTCTACTGAATCTGACTCTATCGCCAATACCACCAGCAGCTGTTCTGTAATTCTTCAGTCTTTGATATCAAAGGCTGGCAGTGATATTTAGCCCCCCACCCATGAGGGTTACATGTGGCACAAGGCCGGGTTTAACGTGGGATCTCTGAGCTCGTAAGCTTGGCCAAAAATATTCCCTATTCAAATGCATATAAACAGGTTCAGGAGCAGTCTGTTGTTCAGTGACGGTTGACTTGAGTAGAGAATCCAGAGGTTAGCAGTGAATATCTTGAAGACAGTAGGAAAGCGTTGTTCACGTTAGCAGTGGATATTTTGAAGACAGTAGCAGAGTATAGTTCGTCCTTCTGTTTCTCTTCACCTGACAAGCTGGACTGGACATTCGGGTAGAGTGAACAAAAATGGCTGCCTTTATACACGACGGATTGAATGTTCTACGTCTTCTGATTGGTTAACTTTCTATTGGTGAACTATAAAGTGAGTCAAGGCATTTTGACTGGACTGGCTCACTAGTTATATATATAGATACACAAAAAACTGCAAAACAGTCAACCTCCCCAAATGAGACTCTGCCCTTCGGCAGAGCTTCGTCCGGGTTATCAAAGGCTGGCAGTGATATTTAGCTACCCACCCCCACGAGGGTTACATGTGGCACAAGGCTGGGTTTAATATGGGATCTCCGAGCCCGTAAGCTTGGCCAAAAATATTCCCTATTCAAATGCATATAAACGGGTTCAGGGGCAGTCAACCTCCACAAACGAGACTCTGCTCTTCAGCGGAGCCTCGTCCAGGTTATCAAAGGCTGGCAGTGATATTTAGCACACACCCCAGCCGCCATGAGAGTTACATGTGGCACAGCAGTGATATTCTTCCAACGTTTTGTCCGTGAGAGAGGGTTTGTAAGGTGGAAAATATTCATCACCCACAAGGACGAGGAGATGCTTTTGGACTCTATTGAGACCGGAAAGTGGGGATTGGGCAGTTCCTGTACAAACAGGCTGGCAGTACACCATTTTAGACCTATATTATACTGACTCTAAAAATGTATAAATCCTGGGTATGACAATAAACTACATCTGCATTCTGGGTAAGACGATAAACTACGTCCAACAGCAAGGCCTCTGATAATATGTTTTTGAAAAAATAATGTTGCCAGCTGTATGTTTTTGAAAAAATAATATTACCAGCTATACATTTTTGAGGAAAAAAATAGCAGAAATAAATTTTTGACAAAACAAAAATATTACCAGGAAAAAAAAAGTTGTTGGCATTAAATGAATCATTAAGGTTGATATGAGTAAAACAAAACAAACCAAACCATCTAAAAATGTACCAATAATTTACTATAGAAATGAACTTCACAATGATTTTATTATAGAACTGTATTGGTAAACAATTTTTACTATAAAAATAGACTGAACAATAATACTCAATATAAAAATGCATAGCACAATAACTTTTGTACAATAAAAATATATTAAGCAAATATTTTAATATAACATATGATGGTTAATAATTTTTAATATAAAAATGACTTGTCCAAAGGTTTTCACTATAAAAATACACGAGCCAAAAGATTTACCATGAAAACTCAATGGTTAACAATTTTGACATTGAAATATGTATTAGCAAATAAATTTTACTATAACAATTCCATGCAATTCCGATCAAGCACTATGGAGAAATGGGTAATTTCAAAACAGTAGCCTCAGCTGCTATTAACACATCACTCTTCATTAATGAATTGAGCCCTCTGGCTGCTGGTGTTTGTATACATCTCTTATATAATACGTTAAAATTTCCTTTTCTCTGCCATGTGTTGATAGCTTAGGGGTAGGATCTTTTACTGATGCCAAATTGGTCAGGTTTCAATCCCGGCTTGAAGCAATCGGATGTCTAGCCACACTGATGAGCAAAACAGGCTTGTATGTGGATAACTATATATATATATAGTTATCCACATACAAAAAAAAAAAAAAATTTTTTTTTTTTTTTTATTTACATTAACCAGAAAAAAGGCTTAGATACAAGCGTCTATCTTTTTAATTTTGAATTTTAATGTAACTATAACAGCAAAAACATTTCGATTTCATTTTTGCCTTGAAAAAGTCGGAAGACGAAACGCGTCGGCAAAATGTATGATTTTTTCCAATTGTCATTTGATACCATATATATATATATATATATATAATATCGCACATTGAGTGCTGGAGTTCGATACTTTGTATTTTCAAAACAATAATAGTTCATTAAAGTGAAAGGTATTATCGTTTAATTCTCTTTTTTAATCATTTCAATCCAAGTAAGGCAATAAAGTCACTAAGATGCAAGAAGATATTGAGTGTAAAAGAATATGAGACAAAAGCATTATTGAGGAGAGAGAACAATAAAAGAATTAAGACGACAGAAGATAACGATGGTGTTGTATTTAAATTTTTGAAGATCAAAGTTGACTGGAAAGCAATAAGCCGGATAGACTTCCACAAGTAAGAAGTGCAAATGAAGGAACTGTTGACATAGAACTTACAACTACATCTAGCTATTTCAACAGTAAACTGATGAGACCTTAGCTGCCAAAATATGATTGTCTGATTGATTTGTTTTTTACAACTTATCAACCTTTTGCAGAGTATTTGAAACTAGAAATTATTTTTAGATTGTAAGAATTTGGGGGAGATAATAATAATTTTTACTGATGCAAGTTTTACTAATTAATCCATAGCTAGTGCAGCACAAAAGAAAGGGATTCATACATTTACGAAGGGTATTTGTACATGAATAAATGTAACAAAACTGACTGGAATTAGAAGTTGGTTGTCCGAATTTCAATTCTGAACCGTTATCCATTACTCCTCCACATATCCAAACCTGATTGTTTGGCCACCTCATTGTGGTGTAATGATTAGAAAGCTTGTCATGCTAGATCAATTACGACTGAGTAGTGAGTTTGATCCTCACTGGGTGCCCCATACTTTCGGCCTTGTGGCAGATCTAATCTAGCTTAGGAAATCATTTTGGGTACCTTGAGGTGATGTAATGGTTAGAAAGCTTGTCATGCTAGATCAATTACGACTGAGTAGTGAGTTTGATCCTCACTGGGTGCCCCATACTTTCGGCCTTGTGGCAGATTTAATCTAGCTTAGAAAATCATTTTGGGTACCTTGAGGTGATGTAATGGTTAGAAAGCTTGTCATGCTAGATCAATTACGACTGAGTAGTGAGTTTGATCCTCACCGGGTGCCCCATACTTTCGGCCTTGTGGCAGATCTAATCTAGCTTAGGAAATCATTTTGAGCACCTCAATGTGGTGTAATGGTTAGCCAGCTTATCTAGCTAGAATAATTACGACTGAGTAGTGAGTTCTATCCTCACTGGGTGCCCCATACTTGCGGCCTTGTGCCACATCTAAGCCAGGCTTAGAAAATCACTATCCAAACCTGATTGTATAAGAACCAGTGATTCAATGTGATGAGGACATACCACCTGGTATTCCCATGTGGTCACCCATTTAAGTACTGACCAGGCTTGACATTGCTTAGCTTCGCTGATCATACGCGGAAACAATGATTTAACGTGATGAGGTTGTAAGACATACCACCTTTGCTTTCAGTCTTACAGCACCTGATATTCCTAAGTGGTTACCCATCTAGCTACTGTCCTAGCTTGATGTTGCTTAAGTTTGCTGATCATACAGTAACCACTGATTCAATGTGATGCAGCTGTAAGATATACTATCTGCACATCCAAGCTTACCACACCTGGTATTTCCCTAGTGGTCACTCATCTAGGTACTGACCAGACTTGACATTGCTTAACTTCAGTGATTGTATGAAAACTGGTATTTCAATGGCTAAAACATGAGGGTGAGAAGAGAGTGAGTTCTGATGTTTAGCGTCTGAGTTGATCAGAATGAAGATGAAGAAAAAGAAGATCTCAAATATATTTTTCCATCGATTCATTCTTTTTGGCTTTCGGAAACTTATAAACAAAATAAAAAATGCTACCAAGAAAAAACTGAAGTTGGAAAATCAAGTTAAAATGAGTGACAAGTGTCTAAAAGAGAAAGAAATTTACACTATTTACATTGTTTTGACGTGTTGTCCTCATCTTTATTACCACATTTGCTACGTTTCGGCCATTGTATGCTTTGCCTTCTTCAGGTGATATTTGTTGGAATTCTGAAACAAACTGTTTATTTAGTCTGGGAGGGGGAGGGAAAGTGTTCTAATTCCACATGTGACATGCATTTGGATATCTCAGTTTTAGCTAATTCCCCTTGATAGCTCGACTCTCCAAGTTTTTGTTCTTTCTGCTGGCGCTAGTTATTGAACTCACAATTCTTTGGATCAAGTCACATTTTGGGGTCAATCAACCAATGCTTCTATCCACTAGTACATGTGTCCTTGGATATAAGGTTAAGGCTACAATAACTCCTCTCAGAAATATAAACAGATAAGAGAAAGAAATGTTTAAAGATGTCCTCTCCTAAAATTGCTGATTCAATACTACCTCTGATTTTGTGCTTCTCTAGAAACTTCTAACAGTCTTGTAATTTTAAAATCAACTGTTGGGTCTCCATAGATACATCCAAGAATAATATTTTGAAAAGCAAAGGAAACTCACCTGACTGGCACTGTTAATGTGATGCACCTGGGAAGTGACTAAGATCGCCGTCCGCTTACGTTTTATCATTTTTCGGACGACAGCATCGTCAAAGACACTGCGGGCAAGATGTGGTTCTATTGTAGCAAAAGGGTCATCCTGAAAAGACAAATAGAAAGTTAATGAAACAATTTCATAGTAAACAGTCATATTTAAAAAAAGAAAATAATTATACAATAATTCTCTAAAAAAAGGATTCTATATAAAAATTGATGTCCCAAACTGTTACCTAAAAGCGGGCAATATCAACCAATGAGGCGTTCAGATGTGACTTTTTTTGATAAGCCTTGATTCTGAGCCTGATCATGGCAATGCTGCATCTGGCTCAAGTAATAAAAAAGGAATGTTCTGGAAAAAGAAAATGATCAAAAAGAAAACTCACCCTCTGGATTATTTTTAACCAATCAGAAGAATGAAATTTGAAACATGATAATTTGAAAAGGCAATAAGGAGAGAGAGGATGACGATCCCAACACAAGCAGATACCAACAATGACAAAATTCTCTGGAATATAAATGTATGCGACCACAAAGTGAGGGTTCAGTTTATATATTGATTATAATATAGAATTGACCCCCCCCCCATTTTATATCTCCATTATAATTTTGTCATAGTTTTGTGATATTAGCATGGTTGTCAGCTAGTTAAATTGCTATTCCTTCTCAGAGTGGATAGTCAGGGCAGATCAGATCAGGTAGGGCGATTAAAATTTTCAGCAATATGCAGAAGAGGATTTTAGACTCTGAACTACTGCATGGCCGACTGACAACTCCAGGCAACGCACAAAATTTAATGCAAAAAATTGTGGAGACATGAAACTAATCCACCAAGGTTTTCTTGATGACATTTAACTCGCTGTCACCTTTATTTTACAAGGCTGCACCAGTTTCAACAAGTTGATCACAATGACTTTCGTTTGTCAATTTTTCATTCAACAGAGAGTTCCATTAATATGTTGACCTAACGTCTCCTTTACTGTCTCTCTAAATCAGGGACATTTTTTTAATTTTATCAACTAATGAGATAACTAATTTCTAATTTTTCTATGTGCAAAAATTCCTATATCTATGCAGAAAAATATCTCGAGAGTTTAACAACCCAACAAGCAAATTTCAAATTGGAGATAACAAAAGTAAGTACAAATATTTAAAACATCTACTAAGTGTTTTAACAGAAAATGGAAAATGTGACTCCAAAATCATAGGGAGAGTGAAAGATGCCTTTCAAAAGTTAAGCAAAGTATTAAGAAACAGGAAAATTTCATGGGGGAAAAAAAAAGACTGTTATGTAATATCAGTACTCTTAGATGGTAGTGAATGCTGGATCATTTCATCACAGATGGAGAAAACACTTGAGACAACAGAAATATGGTTCTACAGAAGGATGCTGAGAATACCATGGACCAAACATCTGAGCAATGATGAAGTTTTAGGGAAAATGGAAACAAAAAAGACACTTATACTTAATATCAGAAAGAGAGAGTTGAAATTTGTAGGGCACATGAGGAAAGAGGGCTTGGAAAATTTGACACACACAGGACATACTGAAGAATGCAGAAGAGCCAGAGGAAAGAAGCATATAACTTACGTAATGAGCTTGTGTAAATGGTTGGCAGAACAGGGATTAGGAGAGATAACAAAGACGACAAAATCTATTATGATCTACAAAGAACAGGAAATTGTGGAGAGCCATGATCGCCCATGTCCTGAAGTGACATGACACATAGAAGAAGACAACTAAAGTTATGTATAGACATCTCAGTCAGAAATATTTTATGCGTTAATGCAAAAGTTATGCATTCTATTGTTTAAGATGAGATTTACTTTGTTCAATTAACCATCCATATTGCAACTGATTCATTTTTTATGGCTTATCAACCCTTTGCAGGTTACTTAAAACCAGAAAATAAATTTAGATTGTAAGAATTTTGTTTTTTTAGATAAAAATATTTAATGATACAAGTCTTAATAATTAACCCATAGGTGGGGGAAGAAGAGGTGGGTTCATGCCTAATCAGGTTTTGATAAACAAACAGAAAATTATAATGGACATATAAAATGGAGGGGATCAATTCTATATTATAATCAATATATAAACTGAACCCTCACTTTGTGGTCGCATACATTTATATTCTAGAGAATGTTGTCATTGTTGGTACCCGCTTGCATTGGGATCATCATCCTCTCTCTCTCTATTCCCTTTCTCTCCCCTGATGTCAGTGGCAGAGATGGCTGTGAGTTTGACGAGAGCAATCACATGAATTCGGACGATGGAGAAGCCTGTACAGTTGAGAAGAAGTGCCTCCCTCATGTCTCAAAGGGGATTGAGACAGGTAAGATCTGGCATACCTGGTTACATCGGTCTTTCGGATGCTTAGTCTGTCATGATTTGCCTTGGTTAGATCAGCCTGACTGGCACTACCCTCTTCCATTGATTTGGCCATAGAGATTGCGTAGATCTTTGCTTGTTTCACTATTGGGCTCTTCAGGAGTTGGTTGTGTTCTTCCTCTTCGACATTATTGTCATGGTTAGCGCTACAGGAGTTGGAACTCCTGGCGGCTTCACTGTTGGGATCACTGGGACAAGCCCTCTACAGTGACAAGGAATTTCCATATATATTTTGCACTGCATGTCAGTGTGAACAGTTTGTTATCAAATGTACCACTTAGACGTATTATTACTTTAATGACAATAAGAGAAACAAATCAATAAATAAGAAAAGTATAAAATAATCATTAATTATATGAGAATATTATTTTTATTATTATTGCTGCTAAAAAGAAAAAAGATTTCAGAGATAAATGATAAAGGAAGAAATTCGCTATTGAACATAAAAATATTAGGTTACAACTTGAAACGCTTTTCCTACAAATTTAAAAATATGTCCAGAGAATGTAAATAAATCTAAAAGACATGCCTGTGGAGCTAATCAGTATTTCATTGACTGATTCATTCATTTTCTACAACTTTATCAGCAACCAAGAAATTATAAATGGATATAAAGTGGGGGATCAATTCTATATTACAATCAATATATGAACTGATCCCTCACTTTGTGGTCACTGTAGTTTATATCCATTTATATTCCAAAGAATGTAAATAAATCTAAAAGACATGCCTGTGGAGCTAATCAGTATTTCATTGATTGATTCATTCATTTTCTACAACTTTATCAGCAACCAAGAAATTATAAATGGATATAAAGTGGGGGATCAATTCTATATTACAATCAATATATGAACTGATCCCTTTTTGTGGTCAAACTTAGTTTATATCCATTTATATTCAAAAAGAATGTAAATAAATCTAAAAGACATGCCTGTGGAGCTAATCAGTATTTCATTGATTAATTCATTCATTTTCTACAACTTTATCAGCAACCAAGAAATTATAAATGGATATAAAGTGGGGGATCAATTCTATATTACAATCAATATATGAACTGATCCCTCATTTTTTTGGTCACTATAGTTTATATCCATTTATATTCCAAAAGAATGTAAATAAATCTAAAAGACATGCCTGTGGAGCTAATCAGTATTTCATTGATTGATTCATTCATTTTCTACAACTTTATCAGCAACCAAGAAATTATAAATGGATATAAAGTGGGGGATCAATTCTATATTACAATCAATATATGAACTGATCCCTCACTTTGTGGTCACTGTAGTTTATATCCATTTATATTCCAAAGAATGTAAATAAATCTAAAAGACATGCCTTTGTAGCTAATCAGTATTTCATTGATTGATTTGTTTTCTACAGCTTATCAACAACCAAGAAATTATAAGTGGATATAAAGTGGGGGATCAATTCTACTACAATCCACATACAAACTAATCCCTCACTTTGTGGTCACTGTAGTTTATATCCATTTCTATTCCAGAGAATGTAAATAAATCTAAAAGATGTCTGTGGAGCAAATCAGTATTTCATTGATTGATTTGTTTTCTACAGCTTATCAGCCCTTTGTAGGTTATTTAAAGCCAGAAATTATTTTTAGATTGAAAGGATTTTTTGAGATAATGATTTAATGATACAAGTCTTACTAATTAACCCATAGCTGGGGGTAGGAAGAGATGGATTCATCCATTTCTCAAGGGTATTTTCGCATATGTTAATATAATGAACTCAACTGGAATTGGAACTTGATCCTGCAATTATCAATCCCAAGCCATTATCCATTACACTACCCACACAGCCAAGCTTACAGCACCACAGTATTTCAAATCATTCACCCATCTAGATACTGACCAGGCTTAACATTGCTTAACTTTGGTGATCATACAGGAACAGTGTTTCAACATGATATGGCCATAAGCATCTTTATTTTAGAGTACTGTCATTGTAGCATAGGGCTTTTAAAATATTATACAGGTTGCACGAGGTATTTGAGGACATGTGATTGTGTGCCTAAGTTATATGATAATTAATATGTCTTAATCTTTTCCGAGAAATGGAGAACTATCAGCTAACGCATGAGATGAAACGGCATGCTGTAATTGTTGTAATAAATGCAAAGCAGTTTTTGATTGAGATTGCAAGTTTTTCTAAGTCACCAAGTCATTTATGCACAAAGGTATTCAAAAAGCTACTTGGCTAAGCATGAAAATTTAACTTGCCACAACCCATGTTATTTATAGAGAGTATAAGACATTAGAATATATCTTACTTATTATAAAACGCAGATTGTGTGTGTGTGTGTCTGTACGTTTATATATTGGATCAGATTTCCTACATTTTTCAACTGATTTCAACAAAACTTCACAGAACTACGTAAAATTACCTTGTGGTGGTTCTGACAGTGCCAAAAATTAGAAAAACACAATTGTTTTTGCACAAAATCAATTTGAAAACACGATTAAGAGACATCGTGAAAATGAAAGGGGGGACAATTCATATCAAGTTATACTTATTATAAAAACCCAGGTTGTTTGTGTGTGTGTGTGTGTTCATTTATATATGGGATCAGATTTCCTACATTTTTCAACCGATTTCAACAAAACTTCACATTTTTTTTGGCAGGTAGTGTTTCTTATTGTCTTGCACACTTTCTTTATTTTTTACATTCAGAATGCTTTAAAAATTCCATTTACAAGACAATTGTTTATAATAAAATTCTATTCAATCGGTAGCCTCATAACGATTGAAAACAATGCTTTTGTTTGAGTTTGGGTTTGACCAATTTGTAAAAAAAACAAAAACTAATTAAGACATGCATGTCCGTCAACCTTAAACAATAATCTTTGTCAATTTTATTTTTCAGTCTTTATGATGGTCGATACTTGATCTATCTTTTACTGTTACATCCCTGGGCAACACCGGTTTCTACTGCTAGTAGTTGATATAATGGAATATGCGTACACCTGTGTTCCCCCTCAATGGAATATGATTGGCTGGTGTCCGTCATGAATATCGACGGACATGTAGGTATAACAGAGTCAAAAAGCTTTGGTCTGAGAGCTAAGTCTATAACGACGCCCATTCATCTACACTTCTTACCTGCGACTACGACGCGTACCAGTCAATTACTGCTACCATATTCTACCTGGTTATAGTAGCCAAAGCCACTTAGCTACTTCGTTCAAATATATCCCTTTCCGGGACATATCAGTAGTATTACTTAATAATAACAGAAATCAATTCCCCACTTTAAGTCAAGTATAATCTTTTATAAATACTTGTTTATGGTCATGTGCTTGTAATTCACCAGGCTTTGTGTTGTTACTTACCAGGAGTATTCAGACAACTACGTGGACAATAATTGAAAATGATATTTGGCCACTTGCATATTTAGCAAGTGGAAATTTAAATTTTCATGATTTTCATGATAAAGAAAATGTTCTGTGGTGAGGTTCAAGTAGTAATAGGAGGCTAAAAACATATCCTTTTCTGAACATTTAAAATATGCTTAAGTTAAACCACCCCAGCTTTGGAATTAAACCAGAAACAACAACAATTGAGAAGTGGTTCCACACTCCTAAAATCCTCCTGAGAGGCCTTACTGCCAGATGTAGTTTATTGTCATACCCAGGACAGTATTTGAATTTTCTGATGAATCTTAATTCTTAAAATTGAATACTCTCCTGGTGAGTTCTACAACAATAAAATATCCATTGAAATGCTTCTCTTGCATTGTTAGATATCTGAACTTCACAACTTCAACAAAATATTGCAATAACAATCATACATATGATTGCAGGTCATTATTTAAAGAAGGCGGTTCAAATGAAATGAGTAACAACTGATAAGGTTTTCCATGTCACTGAAGTAGACCTTAAAAACGCAAATGTGTTATCGCCTTCTGTGTCTTCTCTTTCTTTCTTTCTTTCCCTAAAATCAAAAAGGCATCTTTGAGAAATCCTCCATCTATCCTCACAAACAGCATTGATCCATTTGTTTATCTGCCATAATGGCAGATTCAGTGGAATGACTTCAACAAAATATCGCAATAACAATCATAAATATGAATGTAGGATATTATTTAAAGAACTAAGAGGGTACAAATAAAAAGATTCAAAACTCACATGGTTTTGCATTTCCCTGAAGCAGACGTTAAATACATGAGAGCATTATCTTTTTTCCTTCCTCTGTTATTATTTTTTCACTAAACTCAAACAGCACCTTTGATATTTTTATTTCTATCTGCACAAACAGGAATGGTCCACTGTTTATCTCAGGTAATGGCAGGGCATAACACTTATTCTAAGTAAGTAAATGACTAAGGAAGAAGCTGAATTATAACATGATAATAATAATAATAAGTAAAATAATAGTTACCATGATAATGGTGTTGGCTGATGAGTAGAGCGCTCTGGCAAGACTGATTCGTTGTCGCTGACCCTCAGTAAGCAGATTGCCCTGATAAAAAAAAAAAAGACAGGTATAAACATTATGTATGTAAAAAAACTAAAATACATATCTGTAAAAAGACAATATGAATAAAGACAATTTTTGCCGACATGTTTCGTCCTCTGATGGAGGCAAATGTAATGATTTTATTTTGCAAAAAGGAAGAATGTTGTTAAGTTCACAAAATTTTTAAATTTAAGATACACTCATAAATAGTGATCAGGTTAACTGAAAAGTCTAGCTAAATTATGGAAGATGCTAAGTGATATAATTTAATAAATGAAAGGTAGTAAATGACATTGTTGAATTTTTTTTTATGCAATTAATATTTAAATTGTTTTAATTTCAGATTAATTTATATATTATATATTTTAAATAACAGGAGATTGTGAATTTAACTGTTTTCCTTTTAATTCTTAATATTTATATAGTCATGTATGTTGGCTTTGGAGAGGAGTAATTCTTTTAGGAATGGAGATATTTGAAAAAAAATCAAGAGCACATACTTATATTGGTAGAAATTAAAAAAAATATATCTATGAATACAAAAACGATCTTATACCTAACAGTTTATCAAATGCATTAGTCATAAATAGGAATAAATTCAACCACAACTTACTAAAAATTCTTGAGAGTTCTGCTACTGAATTTTATCAAAAGTGATGGATTTTTATTTATTACATTATTCAGACTGTTATCCTCATTGCCATATTCACAACATTTCGGCTGTTGATTGGAATTTCAAACCAAACCTTTTATTGTTCTAGTTCCACGTGCCATGCCTCTTCCAAATGTTTCAGTTATTTCCCTTTAACACAACTCTTCAAGTTTTGGTTCACCACTGCTGGACTGGTATTGAACTCACAACTCTTTGGATCTAGTCACTGAACCTAACCCACATCTTTATCCATTGGCCCATATTTCCTTGAAGACATCTGCGTATGAATTTTTAGGACTTATAAACCTAATGTCTCAGCAACCATTTTTTTTTTTACCAGTGCTCATATTGAAATTTTTCTGTTTATTATTATTTACTTTTTTTTACCAGAGCTTATATTGCAATTTTTATTACTTTTCTCTAGCACTCCTTATTACTGGTTCTCATATTGTATTCATTTCTATGCTTGGTCGGCTCAGGAGATTTTTGTGGCTTAGCATATGTGCTGATTCCTTAAGTTTTTGTATTTTCTAGTGATGCTCTCTGTCTATTATTTTAACCTCATCCCACAGGGGGCGGTGATCACCCTTTTCCCTCCATAGAGGAGAACATGACTAAGGATTGTGTGTATGCCATCCCATGTAGCTGTGGCAGTAAATACAAAGGTGAAACAGGCCACCTCCCTTAAGGTAAGATGGCAAGAACATTGTAAAGTGGTAACACAAGAGGAAATAGAAAAATCAGGCATAGCTGACCACATATGGAACCAAAACTTGGAGAGATGAGTTAAAAGGAAATGAGACATACAGAAGAGGCATGGTATGTGGAACTAGAACAATCTACCTCAGTGGACGAAATAAAGGCTTTGGTTTGAAATTTCAATCTCCTGAAGAAGGCGGAAGTGTACAACAGCCGAAACATTGTGAATATGGCAATGATGATGAGGATAACAGTTCAAATAATGTAAATAATGTAACTAATCATAATACCTCATCTCAGAGATATAGACAGATTTTATTTATTAATCTGACTGATTTTATTACTTAAGTGTTATTTTTTAGTTGAGTAGATTCTCCGTTTATTTATTAAACAGTATATTTATTTATTTTCATCTTCCACCCTGAATATTTGAGAAATCTTATTAAAGAAAAGTATGTGCTCCCTGGCAGGATTCAAACTCATGTCCTCCTGGGCAGAGTAAACTTGTTAGATCAGATATGCTTGACCACAAAGTGTGTCAATAATCAAGCAAAGTTGAATTGTGCTTTTCCTTTCTCAGACTCTCAGAACATTCATATCTGCTCAGTTTCACATCCTAACGTAAACAAAGCAATTTCTAAAGAAGTGATGGATTTTTATTTATTAATCTGAAAGATTTCATTACTTAAATGTTATTTTTTAGTGGATATCCATATTTGAGTGGATGCTCTATTTATTCATTAAACAGTTTCTTTATTCATTTTCATCTACCGTTTTCTTTAATCCATCACTTCTTTAGAAATTGCTTTGTTTACATTATTTACCACAACCGATGTTTACATAAAGACATTCTCAAATCAACATGCAGACAAACACCAAGCATAAACATGGTCTACAAGGCACACACATGCACTCACACACACACACACACTTACGAATGTATATTATCATCTGAATTCCAGACAAACTCGAATTATGATACACTTACATACATAAAACAATATTTATAGTTTTTCACTTAAGCTTAGTATCCATTAATTTCTTGGAGCTTGTAGAGGACCGTGTCGGCGATGTTGAGTAGAAATAGAAGAACACATGTGGGTTAAGATTTTCCTGCTAGCCGGTCCAACTACATAAGAAAGTTGGGCTTTAATTAAGTCCAAAGAAGAAGGCAAAGAAAAAGAAACACAAGACCGATAAATATATGTAAAGAAATATCTGTTTTAATAACAAGAAAGGTTACAAGTTACATGGACAGTTACATGGACAGAGTGCGTGTGGTGAATATTATGCGTATGTGAGTTGTGGTGAGTGTTCGTACGTACGTGTATTGTTCTTAGCATGTTCCCAGCATTTGGAAAACGCTGTATCTGTGAGAGTTCACATCTGTGAGGTGGTAAGGCTGAAAGCCTGAGAAAAAAGAGATTTACCTCAAGGTGGCGGCCCAAAGGCCTGAGGGAAAAAGAGAAGAGGTGAAAGGTCAGCGAGTATTTATAGCCAGGGAAGAGAGACCTCTGATGAAAGGGTTAAGGAGCTAAGGAGGAGCTAACTCCGACAAGCTGCAATAAGACACATTGTCTTTACTTGAATTTAGAATGACATAAATTATACTAACCTTGTTTAACAAGTCAAATGCATGTGAAACCTGATTAACCAGTGAGAATTAAACAACACAAAAATAAAAATACCAGAATTTCTTTCTTATTTTTTCTCTATATCTTGTTTGGAATTCAGAATATTCCTAGACAGGTTGCCAACCAAGGCTAGAGAGGTGAGTCTACCTTGCTATTTAATCCATAGCTGATGGAAGTGAAGCGATAGATTCATACATTTCCCACAGTGTAAAAGTGAATGCAATAGACTAGGTTGTGTCATGTTACGCTGTCCACATTCTCTAAAGGTACTAGTTGGGAATACACAAATATCTCACTTCGTAGATACGTTCAAACAGTACACCCACAGTGACACACACATTTATATTCTGTTCAGCTTACCTGTTCACCAACTTCTGTCCGATCACGGGCAGGCCACATCGTCAAATCAAAATTTAACCCAACAGCATGTAGGACTTTCTTATATCTGAAAATTAATAATAAAAAAAAGATTTTTTTTTGTTTTCACTTGAAAATATAGATAAGAAGAAATCTATTTTTCAGTATATCCAACATTTTTATTTTAAGAAATTTAATTGAAATGCAAGAAAAAAAGAGGAAAGATTTCCATGCCATTGCCAAAAATAAAGTTGTTTCTTTCAAGAAACAGTAAAACAAAAGAGATAGATGTAAGCTTTGATTGCATAAGCATCAGAAAGGTAGACATATACCCTTGTGCAAATTAATTTAAACAAAACGAATAATTCTGTTATTATTTTTTTTTCATATTTTTCAATGAAACATGATCCAGTGCACATGTTCGTCCTTCGTATGTCCATTCCACAAAGTTGTTCCTTGCAGATTAACCACAGATTCTCGATTGGATTCAAATCAGGAGAGTTTCCAGGCCAGTCTATAGTACTTTGATTTACTCACTGGTAAGGGTTGCCATTGTGTTTGTGCAGTATGACAATTTTCGTGCGCTTCCTTGGAGTAACATCCATTGCAGACAATGGCTGTAGGACAACTAATCAACAGTTGAGACAAAAGTACCTGGGCATGATAAAAATATGATGCAATCACGGATGATGCAATATTTTTCAAGGCCAAAAAAATTTCATCATACACCTTGAAAATAAATTCATATTACTGCACACCACTACAGATGACCTAATCTGAGGAAATTGCTTGTTGGCCTTTTTGGCTGAGATCAAAGCATAGTATATGTACTTAGCTTAATCTGATTCTTTCTCTCTCTTTCCTCTTTCATTTTCTCAATGAAACCAAGGAGTGTCTTTTCCCCTCTTTCCCCTGGAATAGTCCATTATTTATGAGGTACTATCGGGGTGTAACAATCAAGCAAACTAACAAAGGGAGCAACAAGGACAATTATAATAGGATAGTGTTTTTAGAAAATAAATATTGCCAAGGGAGTCACGAGCGTATACAGTAATAGTGGTGGAGTCAAGAGTAAAAAATTCCTTCTTTTGACACACAGAACATTCATTTTATTCTTGGGCCATTGTTTTGTGGCGTTAAGGACTTTGTGGTAAGGCGCCGTTATATAATGAGAAAATGACCAAATGTGGAACTTACTTCCTCCAATTGTAACTTTGTCCAAATAAAATATTCTCCTGCACAGTTGCATTCATAAGCCAAGGAGGCTGGGAACAGTAAGCCAATTTGCAACCTCTGAAAATCAAAAATGAAATACTGAAAAGCCATGCAGAAACATTTTCAACTCAGGTGTTTGATATAAAAATTAATCTGGAAAAAAATGCACATGTAGGGTGTGATGGATAAATTGTCACTATTTTATATTTTTCATTTTGCGCATATACATTGTAGAATCAGTTGGGCACTGTCTGTGAGAAAAAGAGCTCATGACACAATTCACTCTGCCAGAAATTTGGAAATGGCATGCTGTACTGCTTGGCATTTGCACTGGAAGCGCCAATACGAACATTTCAGAGTGTCTGGGCATCAATCTGAGGACAGTGCAAAGGATTTAGAAAGAGTTGGATGAGTCTAATGGTGATTATGAAGGTATGGCAGTTTGGAAAACTCACATATCATTATCTCATATATATTCATATTCATTTTATTCTTATTTAATAGAGAAAGTTATACTGTAATGACAGAAAGTTAAAAATTGTGCTAAAATTATCAATTTCAAAATGAAAATTCTTTCAGCCAATTTAAATTAGTTTCTAGAAAAAAGCAAAGTGTTTTGCTTATTCAAAATATTAAATTTAATCTATTAGCTTGAAATTAAAACTAACATAAAAAAAACTTCAAGAAAGATTTTTCATTTTTAAAAAAGGCATCACGTTTTTTGGGGGGGAGGTCCCTAATTTTTTATATGGTGTGGTATAAGATTTATGACTGTTTTAATAAGTAAATCTAGAATAGGTATTTCTTTTATTTTAAAATTTAATTTTAATTTAAAATTTAAAAAGGATTTTTTACAAATTATGTTCTATAATGTTGTTGGAAATTTTTGTTTGCATAAAAATATCATATGTATCTTATGGCTCTCTGTCCTTTTACAATCTCTTCTAATCCTTAATCTCTTCTAATCCTTAAACTCTTCTAATCCTTAATCTCTTCTAATCCTTAATCTGCTAACCCTTTACACAAGCTTATAAGATAGCTTATTTGCTGCTTTCCACCTGCAAGTGTCAAACTTTCTAAGCCCTCTTTCCTCATTTTGTGCCCTAGAATTTTCAGCTATCTCTTCCTGATGTTAAGTATAAGTGTCCTTTTTGTTTCCATTTTCCCTAAAACCTCAGTATTGCCCACATGTTCAGTCCATGGTATTCTCAGTATCCTTCTGTAGAACCATATTTCTGCTGACTCAAATTTTTTCTTCATCTTTGAGGAGATTGTGCCACATACATTCATGGCTATATAGGAGGACAGATATCACATAACAATTCAGTACACTTTTCTTTGATTCTAATGAAATTTTCCTCATTCTTTTTACCTAGCAGCCAATCTAGTACTGAACTTAAGAACAATTACCATGAACGTATTTATAGAAAAGGCACAGGGAAGCTACATTACATCAGTGGAAAAGTGACTGAAGCCAGTATGCCAGGTCAGGACCAATATTATTGCAGATTATTCTGTTAGGTTTGTAAAATTCATCTGCTCCTATATATAGAGATTGGTGTAAATAAATACCTTTACTTCATGTTGATAAAGTATTCTTCTTATATGTGTCAGTTCCAAAGTAAAGTGGGGCTAGCACAATAATTCTTTGGATCTTATCCAGAATCTCTAAATATATTGCAGGAGCACCAGACCAGATGTGGTCGCAATATTCAAAGAAAGGATGACCAGTAGAATTATAAATATACTAGCCAGTTGCTCGCAAGCTTGTGAGTGCAGTCACTTTGCAACTGTAAACGCTTTCTCTTCGCTCATGCATTAGTGAGCGCAGGGTGCTCAACCGTACACACCTCAATCCATGTACACTGGTCGCCATTTCTTGACTTTTCTTGTCCACCATAGCATCCTTCTTATTAAGTACCCAATCACAAACTCACTGAGATCCGTCCAAGGAGAGTGGAAAAAATATTCCATCTTCCATAATAGAGGTTTTACTTAATTAGAAATTATGTTTCTCTAAATCTTCAAATATTGAATGTATAACTAATTCTAATTTCTATTTTCCCATCTTTACACTAAATGAATTTTATCTCAACAATTGTCCCGTTCTGTCACCCATGAAATAAAAATAATTGTTTGTATGGAAAATAAGGATCTACATATATCAAATTGTCTTTAAATTAAGTAGCAGCAGAAGAATTATCATTGAACTTTAAAAAGTAAGTTTAAATATTAATTCAATACTTAAATGCAGCGATCAAGAGTCCTTTACAGGAGCTAGCTTAAATGCTGCCTAATAAGGCAGCTTTTAAGCTCATTTATAATAAAATGTACACTGCAATTTTGGATACAAAAGGAAAATAAGAGTTACTCCCCTTGAACCATGAAAGTAACAATAATGGCTAGTATAATATATTAATATATATTTTTAATCTTGCATAATCTGGCAACTCTGAATTTGAACTCAACAAAAATCGTTCCCTGCACCTAACTTTTCTAGGGTTTTTGAATGAGCTATAAAATCATTGAAATCGAACCAGTGGGAACAGAGGAGTTACTTCGACACACACACACACACACACACAGTACTTTATATATAAGATAGATTTTATCAAAAAAAATTATCTAGCACAACACCGGGAACCAACTTTCCTTATAGCAGGCCTAGTGATTAATTCAACATAATCTTTCCACTTCATGTCACTGGAAAATATTAGCCTGAGAAGGTGTAATCTATCACTCTCCAGGGATATTATGGGACCTTACCCATAATAACATAATGGACTGTTCCATACATAATAAATACTGTGCCTCAAGAGGAAGCAGGAAGTTCAGTCTGAAGTGAAGTCCGTCAGAAGTCTGTCAGTCAGTCAGAGCGAGCGAGTCAGTCAGTCGAGTCAGAGGCAGTCCAAAACAGAGTCGCGTTCAGACAATTACTACTAAACCTGATTGTTCGTACTAACACTTTCTACTTCTCTGTATATATTCCTGTTTCTAATATATCTGTGTTATTCCATATCCGTGTTTGAGTTCTTCTTTATTGGTTCTTTATTGGACTATTACCGTGGTACAAGGAACCGGATGATAACAAGTGGGGACAGTATTAGCCATGCCGATGCTGGGCAGAAAGGGTTTTCTCAGACAATTAATAGAAAGCAGTTTCATTTTAGAGGCATTCAAATTAACAAGCCATTTTTCCCCCCCAGTTAACAACAGAATTGAAGTCATTTTTGAGATTAGCTGCCAATTTAATTTAACCATTGTTTTGGTGCATAATTATCAGGCGTTTTTGTAGGTGAGTTATTTGTTAATAAAAATTGCTGTTTCTTTTTAAATCAAAATATTATTTTATTTTCAGGTTATAAAAATGTGTGTCAATAATCATACTCATTTACAAATGTTAAACTGTTATATTTCTTTTTTCATAATAAATATTATTTAAAAACGCCTGATAATTATGCACCAACCCAATATCAACACAGGAGTGCTTTTGATTATAAAACAAACACAAGGCTACAATGCTTCTATGCTATTTTGTGGCAACACATGTCTTTTAACATTGTTTGAAATATATTTTTTTATAAACGACATATATGTAAGAGGAATATATTTGATAGACATTTTTTAAAACAGAGCAATGATGCAAATGAGGAAAAGAAAAGAAAAAGGAAACTGAAGAAAACCTGCTCCATTCCATGACTCCTGAGTCAAGTACCATCTCTCCCAAAATGGCTGATAGCAGAGAAGATTTTCCAGAGCCTGGAGGGCCAGTAATAATTGTCATTTTACCTGAAGAAAAAGAATAAAAACAAGAATAAGGGTTTCTTTAAAAAATTGATTCTAGTTCTCTCTGAGGCTCTCCATATCTATCTATCTATCTATCTATCTATCTATCTATCTATCTATCTATCTATCTATCTCAGTCCTTTTCATACCTATCCATCTATTCATATCTATCTATCTCAGTCCTTTTCATATCTATCTATCTATCTATCTATCTATCTATCTATCTATCTATAAATCTATCTATCTATCTATCTCACATTTTTTTTCATAAATATCTATCTATCTATCTATCTATCTATCTATCTATCTGTTCATATCTATCCTTTCATATCTATCTATCTATCTATCTATTCATATTTATCTATCCATTCATATCTATCTATCTATCTGTTCATATCTATCTCCATCTCTTTGTATCATTCTATCTCCATCTGAATCTATTCAAACCTATCTATTTATCTATTTCCATTCTTTCTTGCTGTTTGTCTATCTCTGTTAAGATATATCAATCTAAGTTTTGAAATATCTATCTATCTATCTATCTATCTATCTATCTATCTATCTATCTATCTATCTATCTATCTATCTAGTTCCTTTTCATATCTATCTATCTATCTATCTATCTATCTATCTATCTATCTATCTATCTATCTCAGTCCTTTTCATATCTATCTATCTATCTATCTATCTATCTATCTATCTATCTATCTCAGTCTGTTCATTATCTATTCATCAATCTAAATCCTTTTTATATCTATCTATCTATCTATCTATCTAGTTCCTTTTCATATCTATCTCTCTCTCTATCTCTCTATCTATCTATCTATCTATCTATCTCAGTCCTTTTCATATCTATCTATCTATCTATCTATCTCAGTCCTTTTCATATCTATTTCATTCCATTTTTTATCTATATATCTATCTCTGTTAAGATAAATCAATCTATCTCAGTCTCATCAAATATCTATCTCATCCTATGTATATCTATCTTTCCCATAAATATCATGTTATTGTTGACAATGAAGAGAAACCCAAGATTTTGACTGCTGATTTTCAAACCAACCTGGATGACTGGCTCGGCACAATCTTTCTAATTACCCTTATATTTAATTTTTTTTGTTAAGTCATAAAATGAGCACTTTCCACAAATATTGCTTAACTTTCTTGAAAATACTTACAAGATCTGGCTTGAAGTTGTTCAAGAAAAAAAAAACTACAAGTTTGCCAAGGATGATTTTATCAACAGGACAACTTATGACAAATCGGACATGAAAACACACAAAACCAAATATGAAATAATAAAGTCTTACCCATTGGGACCTTAATATTAATATCTCTGAGACACGGACATTCGTCAGAAACATCCATGGAAAAGCAAGCATCCGTGATGTCCAATGCCAAGCGATTTTCTATATTAGGAAGATCTGGGACATCTTCTTCATCTTCTGTGTTGGAGATAGTGCCAAAGGTGTTTCTTCTGGGGCCAGCACCTCGCCTTGCATAATACTCAAGCTCGGAGTATAGAGATGGAGTCATACTGGGTTTTCGGAAAGACGGGTCAAGGGTTTCAAGGAGAGAGGCACCACTGTTTTGTCTGCTCTGTATCGGGGTGTGGCCAAATGGTGCACTATCTATGGATGAAATGCTTCCACGCATTGCCCCATTATGAAAGGCCATTGTAACCTGTTCAGATTTGACATCATACTTCATGAACGTGTCAAGTTTTGTCTACAAGACAAAAAACAAATGTGAAAACATAATCAGGACAGATAATCAGAATGATAAGAGAACTGTTTTTTTTTTTAATCATTTCACCCCAGGCGAGGCAATAAAATCACTAAGATGGGCAGGATTACTGGGAGTGGAAAAGAATGATAAGACTTTAGGAGAACGAACTGGAAACCCAATCCTAAATGGAAAACAATGGATAAACCTCTACTCCTGTTCAAAAGTCAAGGAAGGAGTGTGAACCAGGAGATAGAAGAATGTAACTTCTTCTATTGAAAAAAATTAAAAAATAAAGCCACTAAGACACAAGGGGTTACTGGATGTGAAAGAATAAGAGAAAAAGAAAAATATTATTAAGGAGAAATGACATTAAAAGAAAAATAAGACAGACAATAATGATTGACATTGCATTTAAAGTTTTGAAGATCAAAATTGACTGAGAAGCAAAAAGCCTGAAGGGAGTTCCACAAGTGAGAAGTGCGAATGAAGAAACTGTTAGCATAGAACTTACAGTTACATCTAGCCATTTCAACTATAATATGATGAGACTTTGCCGCCAATTGCATTTAAATTTGTAAAGTCTAGGTACCATAAAGAAAAGTTCATCCGAACAATTACCATGAAAGTATTTATAGAAAAATTATAGGGAAGCTATGTTATAGTGGGAAAGTGACTGAAGTCGAGATGCCAGGTCAGAACCAATAATATTGCAGATTCTTCTTCTTTGGATTTTATCAAGAATCTCTAAATATATAACAGGAAAACCAGACCAGATGTGGTAGTCCTTTCACTTCATGTCACTGGAAAACGTTAATCCGAGAAGGTAAAATGGAAGGTAAACAGGGTTCTCTGAGATGATTAAAAGAGAGTAGTTTTGTTTTGGAGGCATTAAAATTAACAAACCATTCCTTGTCCCCAGTTCTTTTATCTCATTAGCACTAGAGAATGACTATCCTCTGAATTTGTGTTCTCCATGTTCTGCAACTCCAGAAGCACTTCAGTAGTAAATCACCTCTGATACTTCATCATCTCTGTCGACATTCTGGAAACCCACTTTACACAAACCTTTGACTAGCTAAGAGATTTCCGTTAAGTATTAAGCATTACGATAGCTCACATTAAGGCTTTATTCTTATTAACAGCAGCAGCTGACCTGCCACTGTGGAACCTGTCAATATGGTCACTTTCTCTTTTCTCTGTAGAACTGACATTAATTCTACTGGATTATCTCTTTACTGTGCTTATAACAAGTACAGAAATACATTCACTGCTCTTTACTTTCTATACATGTCAGGAGGTGTAGCTACCATAGTTTTCAGGGTATATCATGGTTTTTTACTCAAAAGTTTGATGTCAGAATCTGCTTGTGTCCTATAAACTGAAGGTATGAATAATAGTTTTTAGGACACAAGCAGATTTTGATTTCAAATTCTGGAGTGAAAATATATGTCATATACTATATGAATATATATTTATTTATATATATATATATATTTTAGGGAAGTCTACAACAGATGGTAGAAAAAGTTTTTGTGCAACACATTTAATATTGTAGGAATTGATAGGACACAAATGATATTTACATTGATGTGCACACAAAAGAGAGATGACACTGAAATTTTAAATATTAAATATGTTATACCAAAACTTTTTACACTTTGTCAGAGATTTCCCTGAAATAGTTCTTGATGTATATAATTTATATATCACTTTCCCACATATATAAGCATAAAAATGAACACCGAGGTCAACATTGAGTCATGACTGTGTGTTTTATGCTTGTCTACAATCTTCAGGCTTTTGTTGCTTTCAAACATGAAACAGACTGTCACCATTCATTGTTACTTTCATGTACACTTTTATATTTACATATGCTCTATCCCTGATATTGAGCACATAAATATAGCATATATTAAAACTATACTTTTATCATATATATATAAATCGATAGGATAAAAAATTTCCATACACCTGAAGATTGCATAAACTACATGAAACTCCAAGTAGTTTTATCGATGTGGATATTATGTGTATTCACTAATATAGTGGCTGTCGACTCACAAAGCGAATATGACCATCACTGACATGTCCAGTCCATCAGTTAAGTTCCCCTCCCAACAACACTGCAGTCATTTGTTGACAGTGGCTCATAAAGCCAGTCAACGATCTGTATTTCTTGTTGTATGTCATCTCCAAGTGGTCGAAGTTGACTTTGATCATCATCACTTCCAATATGCCTTGTAAGGCCCGACCTAGACTTGCACACTCTAGTGCAGGTCAGGGATTCAAAGCATGCCAATATGAAATCGTTATATGCAATAGACTGTTGGCGTGATTTCTGGTGACTGATCAGACCTACCCTAGACAGACATCCGATTGCATTGGGCACATGGCCAGGTTGGCACATCATGGCAATTCAAGTATCCCTTCCGAACCCCTCTCTTCAGTTCTGCATATTTTTGTGATGCCTCATGAAAGATTTTGACGCCATATTCACTAATATATACATATATATATATATATATATAGAGAGAGAGAGAGAGAGTTAAAATGAAATAAAAAAAGAAATAAAATAAAAACATAAAAAAAAGTATTCAGAACAGTTGTCTATATTTCTGAGATGAGGTATTATGTACAGTATTTACATTAGTCGGACTATTGTCCTCATCTTTGTCGCCATATTTGTCACAACGTTTGGCCGTTGTACGCTCCGGCCTTCGAAATTCCTACCACCTGAAGAAGGCGGAGCGCATTAACGGAATAAAATGTAGGACAAATATGGCGACAAAGATGAGGACAATAGTCCGACTAATGTAAATACTATTCAGAACAGTTGTTTTCAAAAACTATGGAAGCAACATCATGTTGTAAATTAAGCCAGCATATATTATAAATATAATATAATATTATTATAAATATTATTATAAATGGAATCTAATACTTGGGGATATATTCAAAATTATAGAGAGCGGTTAAACAATAGAGTATATAAGCTAGAAATAAATAAATAAAAATGGAGACACTGAACTAAGAAAGTTCCGTTAAATTTGAAGGTTGTAATCATCCAAGTGGAGGGGGCAACTTAAAAAGTTTGGGGAGAAGAATAACCAATAGAATAAAGGTGAAATAAAATTAATATGGATATGAAGTAAATATGGAGGTAAAATAAATAGAAAATTTATATAGGATTTAGAGGAGAAAGGTAATAAGGATCTGGGGAAGAAGGTATAATGAAGAGAAGTGATATAAAAGTGGGGAGGGGTAGATAAAAAAGGGGGAGAAGAAAGAAAAAAGATGAGATAAAATTAATATAGATATGAAGTAAATATAGGGTTCAAATAAATAGAAAATAAATATAGAATTTAGAGTAGAATGAATATAAAAATATATAAATGTATCAAGATGAAGTTATAAGAGAGAGAAACAGTATATAAGTAGGGAAGGAGTAGATAACAAAAAAAAAAAAAAAAAAAAAAAACAGAGAGACAAATCAATGTTGGTACTTCTAATAATTGTAAGATAACCAGAATCAAAATATTTGAAAAGAAAATTTTTTCTATGAATGTATGTGGTCATAAGTTCACTTTGTTTGTTCAGCAGGTTGGGGTTGTCAATGTGTTTAAGAATATGTTTTTCCAAAAGACATAGAATACATTTTTCTTCCTTGCCACTAAAAATTTTGGCTTTAGTGATATAAACCCAATTTACTAAATGTGTGTAGTTATCTATCTTAATTTCCCAGAAAAATTTAGATAGTGCCATGTTATTGGAATATTGACTATTGGTACATGTTATTTTATGTTGGTAATACCAGGTTTTCCTGTCTTTTGAGGGGGAATCAAAATAAAATTTATTTTCACCATTATGTTTAATGTTAGCTTTATAAATAATGCTTTTAGACATGCATTTAGAATTTAATGGGCAGATATTATTTTTTCTGCAATTACAATTTTTTTTGGTATTATTATTACCATATAGATTGCTTAAATATTTGTTTAACATTATATTATTATGGTGCGATATATACTGTTCAAGGTACAGCTATAGCTAACTTTAATGTTGTTTTTGCTAATAATCTTTAAAGTATTGGGATATAGTTGAAATGATTATGGATAAAGTTAAGCAAAATTTTACTGATTTTGGATTTGACATTTTGGTTAAATGGTGAGCTAAACCAAATTATGTTGCATTTTCTGTTTATGCCTGTTGGTGTCTGTTTTGTCTAAGTATCCTAGTTTAACAACACATTTGCTTTTTTTCTAAAGCATCTAAATATTTGCTCTTGTATTTATCAAAATATCTTTATTGCTTGAGTTAGTTAAAAGTCTAGATTGTACTGATTTGTGTAAATTATTTAAAATTTCCAGGTGATAGTTAGATTCTTTGTGACTATGATTATAGAGTTCCTTAGTGAAAAGTTTGTATATTCCCTTGGATAAGTCAAAAGTAATATCCAGGAAGTTGATCACCTTAGTGTCGATGTTAGTAGTAATACTTAATCCATGATCCATGAAGAATTTGATCAATTTTTTCCTAAGCTGGTTTGTTTGTTATGGGTTGGTATTACAAAGGAGGATAATCCCGTCATCTTTATACAGACCAGTACTGTTGCTATCAAATGTATATCTGAGTCACCAAAGTAGTGGTATGCAAACCAATTCACCAGCTTCTGCAGAATCAAATGCACCCCCACCATCACTACAGAAAAGTTCAGGTTGTCTTTTTTTTTTGGTCCACATGGAACCACAATGTAATAAGATGGGTTTTTGGGCTTCTTTAATGATGCTAATTTCCTAATCACTGATGGTACAATAATTTTTGGCCAGGTTTATAGCTGCCCTTAGTAAATTTTCCATGATCGATAGATAGAAATTGCATTGATGAGATGTGATACAGCAAAACAGGCTTGTATGTGGATGACTTGCTCTCATTTGCCGATTGAGCACTATAGGGAAAGGTAATTTTCAAAACATTAGCTGCTCCTGCTTATAATGCATCGC